GAGGCGCACGCGCAGCGCGAGGGCCGACGGGAGGCGGGGCGCGGACATCACCTGTCCCGAGGCGCGCAAGCGCAGCGAGAGCCGGCGGGGGGCGGGGCGCGGCGGCGGGCTCCTGTCAGAGCTGCTGTCGCCGGCCAGGGTGCTGAGGCGGCGTCGCGCGGCGTCTTGAGGCGGGCGCTGTCCAACATGGAGGCGGCGCCGGCAGAGCAGCACTGAGGCGGCGCCGGAGCCAGGCGCCGCGCGCGCCCTGCTGAGGAGCCATGGGCAACGAAGCGAGCCTGGAGGGCGACGTCCCGGCCGGCGTGGACGCGGACCTGAGCCGGCTGAGCGCCGAGGAGCGGAGCCAGATCGCCGCCGTGCTGTCGCGGGCGCAGGCGCTGCCGCCGGGCGCCGCGGAGCCGCCGTCACCTCACAGGCAGGGCGCTGGGCACGGGCGCGGGCGGGCGGAGGGCGGTGGCATGGGCGGGGTCCCTAAGGCCAGGTCGTGCGTGACCGCGCCCCGCGACGCGAGGGCCGGCCCGGCCACCCTGCCCACCCTGGTCGTGATCACCTGGTCACCCTGCCCACCCGGCTCATCCTGCCCACCCTGGCCACCTTGGTCACCTCCCCAACCCGGTCACCATGGTTCCCGAGCCCACCCTGGTCACCCGGTCGTGATGCCCACGCCAGTCACGATGCCCAACCTGGTCACGATGCCCACCCGCCACCCTGGTCACCATGTTCACCCTGCCCACACTGGTCACCCTGGCCGGGCCGGGTGTGCGAGGAAGGTGGGCGCAGCCTGGGTCTGTGACCCGGAGTCCCGCGTGTGCAGGCGGGAAGCAGATGGCCGGGTCACCCGGCAGGTGCTGTCCAGGGAGTGGATGTGCGTTTTTATGTAAAAGTGACTTTCAGGTTTTGGAAGAACATATCTTCCAAATTTACATTACCTTACAATTAGTGTTCACCACACATATTTAAAAACAAAAATACATGACAGTTTGCAAGGCAGTCCAAGAGCTAATTTGCCATCTCCATGTTCTCATCCCCTTGCCTAACTTTTCATTCCTTTCCATCCTGATAGATGAGGCGCTGAGAGGCTGTCATCACTGTGTCCTGCCTTTCACAGTGTAAGCAGGGCTCTTAACTTTCCCCATGCACAGGGAGCTGTTCTCCTTCCTGGTCTAAAACCACTTCTTCTCTAAGATAACAGAGGGGAAAGCTACAATTTTCATTTGAGATACTGGAAATAGAAAAGATGTGATCAAATAGATGTTGAGTCCTTTACTTCATAAAATACATTTTGACTTAGCCACTGTCAAAATCAAATAATTAAACACTATGGGACCAAAGATAGGACAATTTTAAGACTGGCAACAATGTTTTCATATATCTTAAATGTAAAAAAATTGTCAATAAAAGTGCTGTTCTTAAAAAGCCATTAGAAAAGTTCCATTGTATTAAACATGGCAATTAATGTTTTAAAATGGTTAACATATTGGGAAGTTTCTTCAATATAACATTTTCTTACCTATTTATAAAAACAGTAGTTTATGATATGTACTGTTTTTCTCTAATGAAAGTTTGACATGGAAAAATTGTGATGTCTACTTACTTGATTTTCGGAGGGTAATAACAAAGTAATATTTTTATTACCCATTAAGAAATGCATGGCATATTTTAGACAATTTTTCCAAAGAGCACGTGCAACAGGTCTAACATACTGGTTACATTTACTAAGAAAGGTGTGCTAACTTTTCTTTTATTCAGAAGTTACCTACAAAAATACTATTTTACCACATATAGACTTGACTTGATATGGTATCAATATATTTTTAAAGACAGGCAAGAAAATGTTTACCTTAAAGCTCTCTGTTAACAATTTTGTTATGGTGTAATTATTATTAATAGATAACCTGTGTTGGAAACAGCTCTTAGTAAAGAGAACCTCCATATGCTCAAATAAAAGTGGGTCAGAGTTTTGCAACATACCTATATTTTACTGACAGAATTTTTTGAAAGGTACATATATTTCAGAAAGTTAGCCCCATATTTTATAACTAAGGAAGCACTTGGTCCATCATTTAGAATAATGTTAATTTAAACATACACATGAATGTGTGTGTGTGTGTGTGTGTGTGTGTATATATATATATATATATATATTTGAATTTTTGAGTGCTTAGGAGTATGAATTAGACATGGTGGAATTTACCTTCTATTTTTAAGAAATTAAGATAGGCAGCTTGAAGACCATCATTCTTATCCTATTGATTTTAACTGACTCATAGCAGTTTCTGTGCAGTTTTCCAACAATGTATGTCTCAAATCCTTGCCTCCAAATAAGGCTAATAATACTTGTCTTAAAGAGTTTTATGTATCTTAGGATTTGTGAAAATTAAAAATGGGCATTAATGATTTTGCTGGATTTTCAATGTAAAGAAACCTATAAAGAATGGTAATAGGAGCAGTGCAAGGCAGTGTAGTGGTGGTGGGGAGAAATTCCTATATGTATACCCACTTAGGAGCAAGATTTCCAGGCTTCTATGATTAATGAGCTTTATAACTTGGAATAAGTCTGTTAGCTATAAATTCTGGTGTCCTCTACAGTATGAAAATGAATAGATCTTCCTAAGCTTTATAGTTCTGGTATCATAGAATTTCATGTGACTCAGCACTCTCAAATTAAGTGTCATATTTTATCATTCCAGCGGTTTTTACATCCCTCTATTTACTTACATGTTGACCTCATTTTAGGTGAATTTTTTTTCTGCTAAGTTATGAAAGAACAGTTATAATCTAAGGAAACAAGCAGTGAAATGAAAGGAGGTAGCATGCAGCATGAATAGCTATGGGCTAGAAAGATGGGCATAAATGAAGTGCTCTTGGATTGTGCATTCACTGTTGACTGGGAAAGAGCACTTGTGTTGCTTCTGTTCTCTATTTACAGCTAGAAGTGTGTTGTGTGAGGAGGGCTTACAGGTAAACTTTCCTGATAGAACAGTTGAGTTGAAGCTGGCAGAATTGGCTATTTCCTGTCATGCCCCTGGGGCCTCTCCTGCTGAGCAGCCACCTGCCCAACTGCTTTTTCTCTGGAGCCACAAGCTAAGCCTCCATTCTTAAGTGAATATGAAATGTAGCCATTCAGATCTTAGAAGAAGCTGAAGGGAAAAGAATCCAAGAAATACTAGAGTAAAACAAAAATGTGAGATGTTCATTCATGGGTTTGCTCCTTGTTAACCATCCATTTATTCATTAATTCATCAAACATTAATTCTCATGCACTAGTTGCCAGGCTTAGCTCCAGTGGCAAAAAATAAGCTAAATGTAATCTCTCTAGGAGTTTACAGTCCTGTGTATAAGACACAGATTACATTTTAGTTTTATTTTTAACAGAGCAACTGTTACAATAAACAAATTTCATGATGAGCAGACAGGCAGTTGACCAAGGCATCTTTACATTAAGCTGATACCATCTCTTAATGATTTATTTTCTAGATCCCTCTCTCAGATCTCAGGGTTTTACTTTATTTATATCATTATAGCAACTTAGTTTACATTGTGGGTAAGCCTTAACGGCTCTATAGGTCTTATCTGGTGAGTCCTGGCGTGGCATATCTTAGTGTTTGTGGGAAGTATATAGATAAGTTGTGGTGCAAGCAGCTTGGTTTCCATTTTAGGATTTACTGTTATCACGGGTATTTAGTACTCATGAAGTTCTTTTTTTTGTTTTGTACATGTGTTGGAATAAATGAAATTATGTTATAAGACAACAATTAAAGTAAGTTTGATAATATTTTAGAAGAGAATAATTTGGTAAATTCAAGAACTTATTTTTTATATTCCATTTAAAAAGAGGTTTCTAGAATCCTATATAAAGAAGTAATTCAATAAAATGCCTAATCAATTACTTGTAAGATAGTCACTTCTATAATCCCTTCCATGGGATATTCATTACATTACTGGAATAGAAAACATTTCTAGAATAATGTAAAAATCTGAACAATGTACCTCTTTGAAAAAAATCTATTTTTATTTTCTTTTGTCTTCATATGGAAAAACAGCACATAGGAATTTCCTATAAGGAAGCATTCAAAATGATGTTTCTCACACATGGGAGTGTGTATTTTTTTTAAAGAGCACGTATTGTACCAGAGGACTGTTAAAATTAACTAGATAAGTAATTTAGTTTCCTATTTAAGTGAAGGCTTTGGAGACAAACCAAAATGTTTATTTTCTTTGTGATATTTTTCTTGAAGGAAATTGCCCCAGCTAAAAATCTACTTCTTTGGAGGGGGTATGCTGTAGAGTAGAACCTTGCATATCATCTATTAAGCAAGCATTGTAACTGATACATACTACCAGCATTGTTAATTCATCTTTAATAAAAAATCACTTTGTTCCTACACTTTGTTCATGCTACTTGTAAATTATTTTCTTTCATCCCAAGTCTTTGGTTTTGTAATTATTGCTTCTTTGCTTCCTATTATGTCGTAGATCTTGATCCTACTCATGTCTCTACATCATTAGTGAAGTACTAAAAAACATACTATTATTGAAATGTACAAAAATGAAAAACTGTATTCTGGCCTACTGGCACCTAAACCTTGAAAGATAGAAGTAGTAACACCTATGGAAATTCATTGTGATCATTTCATGTTTTATGTTCTGTGGGACCATGATTTCTCTATTCTGTTTTTTTTTTTTTCATTAAGGAGAAACATACCTTTTCCCAAATTAAAAAGTGAGATGTGCTAAACAAAAATATGTAGCTGATTATATAGTAACAATGTGGAATATTCTTGTAATTGTAGCTTTATTGGTAAAGACTGTCTTATTTTAAAAATTAATGTACTTATTATGACTTTTGGCTAAATATTTGGATAGGATCAAAAACACCTATTTTAATTAGTCATTAGTCATCTAAAGTTGATCACATTTCTGAAGCTTTTTAAAAAATCATTTTGAATATTTGTCTCTGAATTAAAAGAAATCTTGAAAATCAGTGTTATGTCTTTGTGTCAATGTTAACAAAAATAAATAAAATTACTACTGAGCTGTAATTGGCAACAAGAAGTGGTGCAGCGCAGGCTGCGTGGTGAGAGGTCACCATGTGCTTTCTTCATCTGAGGACAGCGCGGTGCTCTCAAATACGCTCAGCTCACATGTTGCTGTTTGGATGCCAGGCTGTATTTCAGGACGCACTAAACATGTATTGTTAACTTTGTGTCGAAATTTTAGGTTAAAAATTGTCTGTTAGGAAGAAATAAAGACATTGGACTTACAAAAGAAGAATTCTTAAGTGTCTAAATTATGAAAGTAGCAATCTGTATTCAGTGAAGTTTCATAAAGGTGTTGTTTGTGGGGCAAGCGTTCTCTAGGATGAGCAGACTTGAGTGGACTGTCCTTGGCCAGGCACCGGCTCACCTCCAGTACCAGGCTTTTTTCCACGCTGTGTTGTGTGCCTTATACAATCAATGCAGCTTCTTGAAATCAAGTAAAAAAAATTGCAGCAATCTCCTACATCTTAAAATAGTTTCACTTCTTAATGCTATTAGTATTTAGGAGACTTTCACTAACCATAATTTTGATTTTAAAAAGTATACTTGGTGACCATATATGCACTGAAATATGGCATTGCATTGACTTATTGAGTTTTAAAGTTAAACCTACATTTAACTACATTTTAACTCTGGTGACATTCTATTAAACATATGTAAATTACTTTCATAAATGTTTTCCTATTTCATAAAGTTTTCTAATCACTCACAGGATGCTATACAATTGCTTTTACTCATATTTATACATATAATTTTGATAATGTAAGAAAGCAATACTATTTTATATTTGATTTGAAGTAACTTTCACCATTTCACTTATTTTTCTTCTACCTTTCCAGGAAACAAGAGTTGGATAGTAGTCAGGCCTCAAAGCAACCTGGGAAGCCTCCAGACCCAGGGCGTCCTGTTCAGCCTGGTCTCAGTAAGAGCAGAACCACAGACACTTTTAGGTTGGAGCAGAAATTGCCTGGAAGGAGCCCTTCCACTATTAGTTTGAAAGAATCCAAATCCAGAACTGATTTTAAGGAAGAGCACAAGTCCAGTATGATGCCTGGTTTCCTCTCAGAAGTTAACCCTTTAAGTGCTGTCTCCTCTGTTGTAAATAAATTCAACCCTTTTGATTTGATATCAGACTCTGAGACATCCCAGGAAGAAACCAACAAGAAACAAAGAATAGCTCAGAAGGACCAAGGAAAATCTGAGGGAATCACCAAACCTCCATCACAGCAGTCACCCAAACCAGTTCCTAAGCAGCAAGGACCTGCCCGGGATCCCCGTCAACAGGAAGGCTCTCCCAAACCAGTCCCTTCCCAGCAAGCTGAGAAAGTCAAACCACAGCCTTCTGCAACAGGAATGCCAGCTCAGGGGCCTGTGCTACCACCTCAGACAGATCTGGCAAAGTTGTCACTTCAGCGTGAGGCAGCCAAGCCTCAGGCTAAGCAGCCAGACTCAGAGCAGGGAGTGGCAGTTAAACCCTCTCAGCAGAGCCCATCCAAGCCACCTATGCAGCAGGCAGGTCCTGGGAAACCTCCAGCCCAGCAGCCTGGGCCTGGAAAACCAGCAGTCCAGCAGCCAGGGCTAGCAAAGGCCCTTGGACTACAACCAGGAACAGTGAAGCCCCCGGCCCAGCAGCTAGGGACCCCAAAATCTACTGCTCAGCAGCCTGCACCACAGTCTCCAGCCAAGACGCCAGGGCCTACAAAGCTTCCAGCTCAGCAGCCAGGTCAAGCAAAGTCTCCAGCTCAGCAGCCGGGTCAGACAAAGCCTTCTGCTCAGCAACCAGGCCCAGCGAAGCCCCAAACTCAGCAGCCTGGCCCAGGAAAACCCCCAGCTCAACATCCTGGCCTAGCAAAGCCCCCAACTCAGCAGCCAGGCCCAGCAAAACATTTAGCTCAGCAGCTTTCAAAACCAGTCCCGGGGAAACCTTCACAACCACCACCAAGTTCTCCATCTGTAACTCAGATTCCAGTACAAGACTCCTCTAAAACCATCTGTCCTCTTTGCAACACCACTGAACTTCTGTTGCATGTTCCAGAAAAGGCCAATTTTAACACATGCACTGAGTGTCAAACCACTGTCTGTAGCCTCTGTGGTTTTAATCCAAATCCTCACTTAACTGAGGTGAGTGCATCTGCCCAAGTCCTTGGGCGTGTGGGTACCTTGCCTATGTGATGCTTGGGTTGATACTGACAGGATGGGCTTGTCTTTCTCTGCTTCTTCCTCCCTCCCCTCCCCCTTCTTATCCTCTTTCCTCCCTTTGTCATACCTCCTTCCTTCTCATCTTCCTTTTTCTTCTTTGCTGTCAATTATAAATTAGTATATTTTCTCTAGCGCTAAACCCAAAATATTACCAGAGTTTGGCATTAAAAAAAAGAATGGGTTGGCTGAAAGATGTTGAGCATCTACTCAGTTCTGTGTGTAAAGCCTATATTATTATTTAGTATACAATGATACTGCTTGAACTTTGAAGTTGATGCTGTTATCTATTACATTTTGGCACTATTAACTAGGATTATAATTGTATTAAGAAAAAAGCAGGGAAATACCATGTCACTGTAAAATTGAGATTGTTTTTCCTGCCCTTTCCTGTAAGTGATTCAAATACTCTTAGAGGGAAGCTTCCCTCTTTAGGTAAGAATTGTGGGCAACAGCACAATCAGCCCTTTCCTGTAAGTGATTCAAATACTCTTAGAGGGAAGCTTCCCTCTTTAGGTAAGAATTGTGGGCAACAGCACAATCAGCTCCAGAGAGAAATCCTAAGAGAAGGCTCAGCATTGTTTGGGTCCTCTCAGAAGCTCACCACTGGCATTGCCAGGCCAATGCCTGGGCCAGCCTTCCTTCCCTTCAAATCACACAGAGGCTAGCAGTGACTTGTGTGAGGGCAGGGCTGTTTACTGAGTTGAGAGATGGAAAGGTAATTCCGAGCTAGTTAATATTAACTCAGGACTCAGAGGTCCAGAATAAAGTAGTGTTTCAATGGATAGAGATTTGGGTGCAGTCAAGAGCGAAGGTACCAAAGAACCCCCACAAAACAGTGGAAAACCCAGGAAATTCTCTGGAGTTAACTGGCAGTGAAGCTTGGATAATGCTATAAATAAGTGAAGATGAAGGGTGTAGGGTGTTAGGGAGTGTGAGTTCATTTTGAAAAGTGATCTGATAGTTACACTTGGAGAAGGCACAGTTGTCCATCTGGAGGACAGCTGTTCGTGGGCCGTCCATGCGTGATGTCTGTGGACAGCAGGAAGTAACTGACAGTAGGCGATGAAGCAATGTGAGTGAAATGTCCTTGGGCAGTGAGGTTGTATACTCTGCTTAGGCTCAGAATCTGGAAGACAAGTGCAGAAATAACTACTGATAGCTCATGTTAACTTGGATACTGAGTATAGGTAAAAATGCAGATGATCTGGTTTTAGACTTTGTCAAACTTTAGTTATTTTATAAAATCATTCAGTCATTTAACTAGAAGTCATACTAAGTGCTTTAACTTTTTAAATAAACCATTTACTTCTGATGACATTTTAATTAACATATTATATTAAAATTATAGAGGAAATTAGACTATAAGTAGTTTGTTTATATGTAGTTTTTAAAATTTTGGTAGACATCTTTCTGTCAGTGGTATGCTGTCTTGATAGGACTATGAAGTATAATGTGTTCAAATGATACAGGATAATCTTATTGGAAACTTGGACATGTCATCTTTAACATGGTGACAATTTACTAGACAGAAACATTCAGTTGCAAATTTAAGCCATATAAATTGTTAGTATACCCACTGTTTGGAAGGCAGATACTTGGTGTTTTTTGTTTTTTTTTTTTTGTATTTTAGGAAGGGTCTACAGAGTGTTCAGGGTCTCACTACTAGATCGGACTTGTAGTGATCCGCCTGTTTACAGCTTCCCAAGAGCTGGGATTACAGGTGCACCACCACGCCCAGTCTCAATTGCCATCTCGGCGTGCCCTGGGAGCTGGGCTGGCACAGCAGGCCTGGGGATTGAACCCCTACCCCCTGCACCTGCTTGCAGGTACTTTAATCCACCGAGCTATTTGGCTGCCCTGGAAGGCAGATATTTGAATATCTGTAGTGTGGAAGATATTCTGCTACGTGTTTGGCAGTATAGAAATAGAATTAAAACATAAATACTGGCTGCGGAGGTAGCTTGATGGTCTGAGCACCTGCCTGGAAAGCACAAGTACTTGTGTTTCAGCACTGGTACCATGCCATGCCAGCCACCAAAACTGGGCTTGGTGGCACACGCCTGTAATCCCAGCACTGGGGAGGCTAAGACAGGAAGATTACTATGAGTCTAAATAAATAAATGATTAAAAAATAAATGCTGATCTTACTATGATTATAGTGTACTCAATTAGATAATGCATCACAAGGCAATTATCATATGCTCAGAGAAGAGCATGTGAGAGCCAGAAGCAGATGTTATGGACTTCAGAGTGGGAAGCACTTGTTTCCAGTGCATAAGATTAAAGGATACTTCTTGGTAGACGTGGCATTTGAGCTGGGTATATGAGGGTGAGTACCCTTTCAGTAGACAGAAGACATGGACAGGGTGATGACTGGCCCAGAACCTGGCAACAGAAATGTGCAGGTCTGTTGAAGGAGTCAGGTACACTTCTAGGCTAGCATGTGTGATGGATAGGGAGTGGGCAATGATGTTGGAGATGGAGTGAAATCATATTTTTGCCTTTCTTATTTAGCAGGTGATGATGAGAATTCTGTGGTTTGAAACATACCTGGGTTAATGTAGTCATACATTTGATCACTTATTGTCTAATTTGTATTGAACAACTACTTGTAAAGGATTAAGTGGAAACCAAATATTTGTTAGATATAGGGAAGTATACAAAAGGAGTTGTGGAGGTGTGTGTGTGTGTGTGTGTGTGTGTGCACATGGAGAGAGAGAGAGAGATAGACAGACAGACAGCAGACAGACAGAGAGACAGAAATATAGAGCTTTCAATAATTTTTTTATATCTGAATTAAACTTCTTAATTATATGGACATATATTGTTTTTCTAGTATATCAGTAAGTAAACTGGTATTCCAGGAGTTACTATGGTTACTTTGGTTGTTAGTTTACCCAGATAGTAATGCAGAATCCACTCCAAATCTTTGGGTCCTGAACCTGTGTATTCATGTGAGAAAAGCGATATAGTGTTGAGGTCAAAGGAAGAAGATTGAATTGGAGGGGACTGGGATTGTTTTTTGAAGTATGTTCACTGGAATGTGAAGACACTGATTTGAACAGTACCTGAGGAGGGGAAGGAAGAGGGGTGTGGAGTGGAATGTGGAGGGAGGGGTGGATCACTGAGTGAAGGGAGTTGTGACTGGGCTGCTCATGTGTGCATGCCGTTTCCAGTGACCCCATCACTTGAAATGTAAAACTGTGATAACAGTTCTCCATCCAACACATTGCATTGTTAGGAGGGCTAACTAAAAATGTGCATGAGAAAGAGTTTTTAAATATGTGAAGTCTGTTGAAATTGCAATACGGTACAGCACAAGTAATGTTTTAAGTAGATTTGGCTTATACATATAAGTTTGCTTATCCATTGTCTTCTGTATGGATACAGTATCATAGTTACTGGGCTCTAGAGAAGTAGTATTTACCCATCTAAGGCCTTTGAGTCTATAATATTAACAACTTCACTTTAACATTCACGTATTTTTCCCCATAAGGAAAATAAGGAAAAAATGCAATCAAAAATTCCAGTTGTGAACTCTAGAAATACATCTTCGCAAATCTTTTTCACTGCACATCCAGTTCTTCAAACTGCTGAATTGGGAGGTCAGGGTTGGGAAGTTAGAACTGGACAGAGGCTAAAAACTTCTGTTTCTGCAGGTAACATGTGAGGTAGTGAGGTTGTAGGGATAACCACCATTTCTAAACTGTTACACAGTCCATGGAGAGTGAGCTCTCTGCATCTTCCAGATTCCCTTAAATCTTCAGATTTGTAAACAAAGATTTTCACATGAAGATAAGGACAGGCGAGACAGTCTTTGATACTTGAGCTGACATGAATTATTTTCCAGTGGGTTGTTTATGTGCAGGGAATCATGTTATGACTTTTCCAGCCTGAGTGTAAGTAGAATCATGGTCTCATGTATTGCAAAGGAGAGAAGAGTTTTATGACTATGTTTCTTGTAGCCATTGTGACTTTTTAAGTGGCTACCAGCTCTGGGGAAGAAAGGCTGCAAAGGTAACTACACTTTGCTGCATGTTTTGGGGTCCTGTTTCCTCCTTTGATCTTGAGTTTGCCCACCTGCCCCTACTGCAGCCACATGCAGACACTTGGACAACTCAAGCAATCTGTGTGCAGTGGATGGCCTTGAAAATGCCTGCCATCCTGGAGGCTGCTGGGATGAGTGGTGTTTGACATAGAACGTACATTCCACTGTATCCCTTCCTAGACTTTTGCTGCCCAGAGAAGTTGTAGCTCTTTCTGCTGGTCCCTTCATGAATTAACCATTATAAGTCCTCTCTGGGCTTGCTTTTTGACACAGAACTTAAATATGTTCTCTCTAATTAGTGGCAAGAGCATATATATTATTGATTTTGTTGATCTGCTTTACCTGCTCTGGGGTATATAGCCTTGGGCAAGGTAGATCTGTGGACAGATTAAAAAGTTTGTCCTTAGTGTTTGAAAAATTTCTCAACTCTTCTGAGAAGGCCTGTCACTTTTGAGACTGTTGATAATGAACCAAATTTTTTTTTTTTTTGTATTTTAGTACAGGGTCTAACTGCATAGATTGAACTTGTAGTGAGTCTCCTGTGTTCAGCCTCCCAAGAACTAGGATTACAGGAGCACGCCACCACAACCAGTCTCAATCGCCATCTCAGTGCTTCCTTGGGGCAGGGCTGGCATGGCGTACCAGGGATCGAACTCCAGCTGCTGGGCTCTGCCTAAACAGGTGCTTTAGTCTGCTGAGCTAGCTGGCTGGCCAGATAATGAACCGAATGTTAATGTCAAAATAATTGTAGGATATTTTAGAAATATTTTTCATTCACATTATATTCGTGAGCCTCTTTGCTAAAACTAGATATTTTGTGAAGAACTGTGATCATCAGTTTTGGGTCAGAAAAGCCCTCATCTTACATATAAAA